CCCGTCGGGAAAGGCGTTGCGAGCACCGAGCGGTTGCGAGTTTAGTAGGAAATGGCTGTTTAATTAGGAAAAAAGCGCTGCGCGACATCGGGCGGGGAGTTCCCGCCTCTCGGCGCCACCGCTGGCTGCAGCACAGCTGGGAAATGTCCGAACTGCTGGAAAATAACTTTCCCTCCCGGTTCTCACAGGGAAATGAGAACTCTCCACCAGTGCGCGGCTCTCCCGGGGCCGGACAGCTGGTTTCACTTAGATTTGTGTGTGATTAGCCTTCCCGGCATCTTCCTGCTATTTTATCGCATGTCAGCGAGTTAGTTTTACCGTATAAGGACTGCGGGCTGCTGCTGGGAGAGGTGGAGCCAGACTGACTCCAGCTTCCCAGTGGCCCCGTCTCCATAGCTTTGGAATCTTGCTTAATTAAAATATGACTTAAAAAGCGCCCTGTCTAGCGGAAGGAGTTGCAGACTGCCGCCTAACAGAGGCCAGTTCTGTACGTGATGGACTCCTTGTGTGTAAATCGAGAAAGTTAAACACATAGCAGTAGGCAGAAAACAGCCGAAATGCTGGGTAATGTATGGCTAGAGGAATCCTGGGTCAGCTTCCATTTGGATCAGTCACTGAAATCCTTTCCAAGATGGAATGGCTCTGGATGGAAACCACTTCCTCCAGCTTAGGAGGAGCAGTCAGGAACCAAATTTGCGAAGCTGCAGCAAAACAAGCATTTTTTTTTCCAAAGTGTTCAATGTAAGAAGCATAAAAGCAGCCGTGTCTTAGTAAACACCGTGTGTTTGTGGACACCAGCTTGTTCATGTTTTGTGCTTGCGAGCGTTTCTCCCCTCTCCATTTATTATCTAGTGTCTTTTTTAAACACAAATAGTGTTTCCAATTACTGGGCAGTTTACTCAATAACATACAAACAGACCTCATTATTAAGAAATGCTTTCTGGCTCATTTCTTAAGTACCACAGGAAGCAATGAAAAAAAAAAAAGGAGAGTGAACTTATTTGAAGAACATACCTAATTTTGCCCTATTTCTGTTCCAAGGAACACTGACTCTCCCACACTGAGGCCAAGTCGATCTGCCCAGCTGACCTCATAACAATTCTATAGCGTTTGCAGGCTCGGGAGCCCATGATGGGTAATGAAATGGCTTTAGCTTCAGCTGCGTGCTGTGGCAGGATGTTGCTGCAATCTGTGCTGAAACCAAAAGCAGAGGAATCAGCTATGAAGCTTTTTGGAATGAGCTGTTATGGAAACAGTTCGTAACTTTTCAATCTTAATGGGCAGGTCCTGCCCAGTGAAGGGATATGAAAATAGTTTTCCGTTGGCGTGTCTAATCCTTTGTTGTATGGCAGGAATGATAAGTACCCTTAAAAAAGAAAGGAGAAGCACATACTCCGTACCTTGAAATTCCTGAGATGCCACAGCTTAAAACAAACAAAAAGCAGAGAAGGAAGGGTTCCTGGAGCTTCCTGCCTGTACTGAGAGGGGCAGTTTTAAGGAAAACCGATTAGTTGAGAGAATTTGCATCAACTCGGGCTGCTTGTATTTCACGCAGGCTGAAGGTGAGGTGGCGGCTCTGAACCGACGTATCCAGCTGGTGGAAGAGGAGTTGGATCGTGCCCAGGAACGGCTGGCCACAGCCCTGCAGAAACTGGAGGAAGCTGAGAAAGCGGCGGATGAGAGCGAGAGGTACATTTCCTTTCTTTCTTTTTGGTAAAAAAAAAAGAATAGATATGACAAATATTCCTGTATCGTCATCTGCGTGCGCTAATGCGGATTGCGGGTCAGAGATTCGGGACTTTTTTAGAAGCTTGAGTGAGTAATTAGCCCTGAAGAACCTGGTAGTATGGTCATAACCGGGCACTTTTTGGTTACAAGTGCAGCAATTCCAGTTTAGGACCTTTCAAAGCGCTGAAATGCTTCTACATTAAATATACTTGCTCTGACTTCCACAGAGGAATGAAGGTTATTGAGAACAGAGCAATGAAAGATGAAGAGAAAATGGAAATTCAGGAAATGCAACTGAAGGAGGCCAAGCATATCGCTGAAGAAGCTGACCGCAAATACGAAGAGGTAAGAGGGATGAGGAAGTGATTCAACATACGGGAGAACTGGGAACAGCTTTATTACTTTCCAGTTTAGTCACTTCTTGTAGCTTTCCACCGCCTGATGGTTTCACTTTGGGTTTAAAGTTAAGAACACTGCAAAATACAACTTACTTGGGGAAAAAGCCTGTGTGTCTGTGCGTGTGTATTTTGTCTCATCATTCAGAAGGAAGGCCCAGGCGTCGCGCTTTGAAACGCGTAAGAGATTACGAGCTGGCTGGATGCAGCTGTTGTCTCTTCACAGGTTGCCCGCAAACTGGTTATTTTGGAGGGTGAACTGGAAAGAGCCGAGGAGCGCGCAGAGGTGTCTGAAGTGTGAGTAACTCCGTATACGTGAAACAGTTCAGAATACGGGAAAGGTCAAAGCTCTCTCTCATTAGGAAAATCTACTGCTGGTAGGCAGGCATGTAGAGATATGTAGAAAAGCTTTTTTTCTACCCTCTATACCCAATTTTCTCCCTTCAGACTTCATAATTACAATTACTTCGTCCCTTTTATTTTTAGACTTCTTGAAAATTAAATTGAGTCATATCAGCGACAGTTGTAATTTGTACTTTCTTCTTTTTTTTTTCCCTATAGTAAATGCAGTGACCTTGAAGAGGAGTTAAAGAATGTCACCAACAACCTGAAGTCTTTGGAAGCTCAATCTGAAAAGGTTGGTTCTTTCACTAAACTAGGGGCAAAGTCAAACCTTGGAAATAAAATGCAGAGAAATAATCCAGAAGGACAAAGAAAGTGAAGGGGGTTGGCTGGGGGCCCGTTCAGGAGAGACTGTTGGTGACGCTCGATCCGTTCTGCCCAAACCCAAGTCGGGGATCTGGTACCGATCTGCCGCGCTGCCCCGAGCCAGGACCAAAATCTCCGCTTCCCGCCCCACAATGCCGCTTGCCGTTTTCGGATCTTGCTCTTTTTGTGGTTTTTACCTTCTTAATAAAGGAAATGGGTAAAACTCCTGATTTCCTTAAACGGTTCAGCTGATTTAGCGCTGCACAAGAAGGTAAATCCCTTAGAACTTGGACGTGCCCAGTCTGAAAATGATGGTTTATGAACCAGAGTTTGAAATGTCCTGGTGCAGAGGAGAAAGGTACGGAAATGGTCTGTGCAGCTGTTGTAGAAGGAAAAGTGGTTATAAATAAATAGGTCACGGTTTCATAAACATTTATTATTGTTCCTACAGTTTCCCTTAAAGAGTGTTTATTGTTTTCACAGTACTCGGAAAAAGAAGATAAATACGAAGAAGAAATCAAGATTCTCTCCGACAAGCTTAAAGAAGTAAGTTTGTCCATCCTCACTCTGTATTTTGGGATCACTTTAACAGCATCCGATCACAATATTTAATGCTGTTTTTTAGGCTGAAACTCGTGCCGAATTTGCGGAGAGAACAGTTGCCAAACTGGAAAAGTCTATTGATGACCTGGAAGGTACGAAATTCCTTGAGTTTCATTTAAAAGTGGTCGGTTTCAAATCAGAAAACCAAATTGTAGGAGTTTTGGGGTATTCAATTTTATCGGGGAGGGACAGAAGCGCTCGTTGGGCCTGTTGCCACCTCGGTGTGACGTGTCCGCTGGGCACATCTGTCCCGCAGAACCTCCTGGCTGGAGGAGCTTTTCCTGAGCGAGGTTCTGTTTCAAACAGTTGGTGACAATAACCTGACTTTGGCCAACGCAGACACGTGGGCTCAGGGGCTCTTCCTATTAATAACAAGATCACAGCCCTGCTTCATCCGATTACTGAAAAATAATTTTGTGGGATTAAGGCAAAAAAAAAGAAACGTCACTGAAGCTTCTGACCGGGCAGCTGTGTGGACTTTTTCGCTTTCATATCAGTACTCAATGGTGCATCTGTTTTCTTCTTTGTTTCCTCCCCAACTGCTTTGGCTGCTGCCCTCTGACTGTTCTTCGGGCCTCCTCCTGTGCTCCTCTTCTCTGGACTTGTTTTTCTGCATTTCTCGCTGAAACGTGCCTTCTGCCCTCGCCACCGCTAGACGAGCTCTACGCTCAGAAGCTGAAGTACAAAGCGATCAGCGAGGAGCTTGACCATGCCCTCAATGACATGACCTCTTTGTGATCCGCGCCTCCGGGGGGGCGGGGGCCGCTCTCACTCGCTCCGTTTCTTAAGCTTTTCTTGCCTGTAACACCTGTCGCTCCCGCGCAGCTTCCACCAGGGACCCTTCCGCCTCCTCTGTAAGAACTGAGCTCAATAAAAACAAGATACCTCTACCTTTCATCATTTTTGGGGTGTATTTCCTTATTATTCACCTAAAATAGGCTAATTGTGACGCTGAAAATAAGCTCAGCTCCTCACATCTGAGCGCATTCGCTGCGGGCTTGCGATGCCGGGGGAGAAATCCTCTGGACGGTGACAGCTCTGAAGGACGCGTCCCGTTAAGCCCGTCCCATTACACGCCCAATTAGAGCAATTCCCCCCAAATTTAGCCCCGTTTTAGGGCTGCGATTATAATTTTATCGTAAGGTAAGTAACGCTGGGTTTGACTGATGGAGAAAAGCCGCCGAGTTACGTGGTTACATGGTGGTTTTTTTTGCTTTCTCCCTAGAAAAACTCGCTCAAGCGAAAGAAGAAAACTTGGGCTTGCATCAGACACTGG